CATGATCTTTTCCAGCTCCATCCAAGTTGCTGCAAAAGACATGTGTTTCTCTTTTTTGGTTGCTGAGTAATATTCCATTGTATATATGCACCACATCTTTTTGCATGTGATAAATTTTATATGTATTTTACCACAACAGAAAAAAGAAAACACCACAAACATATAACTGTATACTCAGTTCATAGCAGCATTAACCACAATCTGGTACTGCTTCCCCAAAAATGGAAGCAACCCAAGTGCCCACAGATGAGTGAATAAACCGAATATGATGTATACACATAATGGAGTATTATTTAGTCTTAAAAAAGAAAAATCTGGGCCCTCCCTGATGGCATAATGGGTAAGGATGCAGCATTCCCAGATAGCCACAGCCACTTCAGTGCAACTTTGATTTCCAGCCCTGGAGGTGACCCACATGGTGTGGCAGACCTTCCTGATCCACCTGCTGCTCCTTCAGCAGTGTATTTCGGGTAAATCTGCCTGCTCTGCTCTCCACTCTGTCTCTGGTGAATCTTCTCACCACCTTTATACCTCTGGCCTGTACTCCAGTTCTGTATGCATAATAAGTAAATAAATCTTTAAAAAAAAGAAATTATAGTGGCTGCAAGGATAGACCTTTGAAACATTATTGTCAGTAAAATAAGTCAGACACAAAAGGGTAAATATGTATTATTCCACTAATATGAGGTACCTAGAATAGATAAATTAATATATACAAAATAGAGGTTACCAGTGGCTGAGGGAAGAGGTAGTCATAAGGTGGTATTTACTAGATACAGAAATTCTGTTTGGGGTGATGAAAAAGTTCTGGAGCTGGATAGTATGAAGGTTGCACAACCATGTTAATGTCACTGAAATGTACCCTTAAAAGTGGTTAATATGACATTTTGTCAATTTGTATTTACCACCCAGGAAAATATACAGAGAAGATAACTTGGGGGAAAAAAAGGAGCTTGGACAAAAAAAAACCCCTTTATTGATAGCCTGCCCCTTTGGGATCATACTTTGGCATAAAGCCTGCAGCTGGCTTTCTCTGCTGACCAGCACTGGGTGGACTGAGCTGCCTAGCTATTTGAGGTAAGTGAAATTGCTGGGTACTCCCCCTCTCCTTTGAGGCAGGAAGTTTAAATTATCAGGTCAATTAGGAAAGATACAACCGAAAAATACAAGTGTCATTCTCACATCAAGGAGGTGTTTCCTGGCAGGGTGCCACTTTTATTATTTTTGGCGGAGGCAGTTGAAAGCCTCACAGATCCATTGAAGGTACAATGTGATCTTTGATTCTCGTTTCAAAGATCAAAGAGAGTGAGTTTGGGTGTAAATGTAGATAACATTTCAGATCTTTTCATGAAAGGCATCACTAGACCAGGGCAGAAAAGGAGCTGGTGAGTTTAAGTGTGTGTTCGCCTTGAGAAACCTGATTTTCCAATGAATTCGGCTGCCTATGTCCCCTATGACTCCTGGCCTCCATCCAGGTCCTTCTCCTGTGGGGCTTTTGAGCCTTGGGGTGGGAAGCTTGTACCCTTTCCCACATCTTGCAAGGGCACAGAGAGGAGGCATGGGGGTGGTACACACAGAAGCATCCAACCTCATCCTCCACTTGCTTTTCCAAAGTCTGGGTGCTGACTAGGCATGCCATCCGGGCGGGCGGCAGGCTTGATCTTGGCAGCTTGCCCTCATTGTCCTCTCTGGGCCCAGCCTGGACCGGGACAGGGGAACACAAACCCACCCACGACGAGAACACCCACGGACCCCGCCTGGCCAGGGCCCAGCCTGGACAGGGGCGTGTGGCCGCCTGGGCCCAGCCTGGACCGGGACAGGGGAACACAAACCCACCCACGACGAGAACACCCACGGACCCCGCCTGCCAGCCCCGTAGGCACGCAGTGGAGGGTCCTTGGGGTTCCCCTTGCCTTTTCTCTCACTTGTGGGCCGGGGATATTTAGAACCGGCCTCCAGGTTTTGGACAAGGGGCACTGGGTGGTGACAGATACTTTTCAGGGTAGAACTGAAGTCCCTCTCTGCCTGAACCCTTCCTGGTGCTGCAGGCCCGCAGCATCCCTCTTGCCGCCTAGCAGCCCCCGTCGAGTGCACAGCCGACTCAGTAACCGCGGGGGTGCGGCGGCACCAGGCCCTGCTTCTCCACCGGATCCAAAAGCGCGGCGCGGCCCCCTAGGCGGCTATTCATCTCTCAGTCGCAGAGCGCTACCCGCCCTCGGGGCTCGGCCATTGCCGGCAGCTCAGCTTCTGCGCAGACAGCCTCTCCGCCGCTCGCAACGCCGTACTCCGCGGGGAGGGGGCGTGTAGGGGCGGGGACGTGTAGGGGCGGGGAGGGGAGGGGAAATGAGCTAGATCCCGGCAGCCTCTGCGCGGCGGTGTCCGCTGGCCGGCTCCGAGCGCCTGCGCGTTGGCGCTCCCGCGGCTTAGGCGCAAGCGTGATGCTGCCGGGAGGCCAGCGTGGGACTCCTGTGCCGGCAGTGCGCGCGTCACTCGGGTTCCTGGTGCCGCGCTGCTGGGTGCTGGTGTCGTCGACTTCGGCCAAGGGGTCCTTGAGGCAGCGGGACACAGGCGACCAGCGGAAGGACGCCGCCACATCAGCCCCTCCCCGTTCCTTCCCGACTCCTCGATAGCGGAGAGGCGCTCTGAGCCCCCGGCTCAGATCACCGCTGCCCCTCTAGCCAGCGGACCTCAGTTTCTCTGTCCGCGCCGGGGGCTTGGGGGTACCTGGAGTCATTTTCGAGAGATTTTCGCTTTCACAGGAGGGTGTTCCAACGCCCAGCCTCGCTCACTGCCGCCGATCTTGTTCTAGGTGGCCTTTGGACTTTTTCACCCTCGGAGGAAGGTCTCTGGTCGCAAATTCATGGACCCTCTTTCCTGGCGCCTGGTCTAACCGCAGGTAGGTTGGCTTCTTGTTGGGTGGTTGTTGGGGTGTAGGGCCTAAAGAGCTTATATTCTCGCTGTTTCCTGGGTACTTTCGAGAGGGATTTTGCAGTGATGTGCTCTCAACTTGCTTTGAAGCTTTGGGTGAGTTCTGCTCAGAACGACGCATGGTCCAGCGGTCCAGGTCGCTTAAGCTTTGCGGAGGGAAATGCGCATGCGCCACTCTTCGTCCTGTAGAACGCTGTCCAGTCCAGGAGAAGTGTCCAAATTTCTCAGTACAAGGCGAGGGGGGGAAAGATATCTGGGAGGGATAAAGTTCCCGAAGTGGTGTCATTTTGAGCAGCGCTGGCTGGTCTCACAGGGGAACCATATTCCTGAAGTTCCAGGAGGACGAAGAAAGATGCCCAATGAGGGAGCAGGGTGACAGTTTGAGTTCTGAAAGGGAGTGGGAGGTCAGCACTGGGAGAAAGCAAGGGCAGAAATCTGGTCCTGGCTCCTGGGTGGCATGTGGTCTTTGCTGGCAACCTCAAATTGATGGTAGGAGTTGGAGTATGGTATATGGTCATTGCTTTTTCAGAGCTTGTTGAGGAGCTGACTGGACTGCATTCATGTGTTGACTCCTTTGGGCCACTGCTGCTAACAGGCACTAGCATATTCTTGTGTTAGGATGGGAAGGAAGGACTTTCAGGTGGAAGACATCCTTCTACTCCCTATCCCCTGTGGATGTTGTACCTAAGAGATAACAGAATGCTTGGATGGTGAAGGTAGGTACCTGGAAGTACCTATGGCACTCCGGGAGATGCTGGGCAGAAACTGTGCTTCCTGGAAGAATTCTGACAGGGGTAGGTTAACATGTAGGAGACTCCTTGTGTGTTTTACGTGCGTGCTGTCATGTCCCTAGGTATGGGCTGCTGGAGCGTTGGAGTATGTGTGAGGGGTTGTTGGAAAAATTACACAGGCAGTGAAGCAGAGAGGACTCTGTGGTGCCCTTATGTGGCTCTTCCTTAGTAGCCAGACTGTGCAATGTGAGAGCTTGACAGATGGCTCCTCACCTTGGAAGAGAACTGTATCTGCAGATGCTGAATTGGGGAGCCTTCCTTCCCCAATTTAAGGTACTTTGGGCTGCTTAGGATTGGTGATCACTGCTGTCCAGGTCTTTCACAGGAGTGATTCTGGAAACGGGAGAAAAGATAGCAAGTGCTATTAAATTCAGGGGACTGGGTGCTGGACTCCTGACAGGATGCACATGCAGGGTAGGGATGGTACTTGAGACAGGAGAGGCATTACTTGCAGAGTACACTGGTGAAGTGAGTCTGGGAAGTGAGTCTTAGGGGAAGGCTGCAGGACACAGTAGGGACCTCGACTTCTGTTGGGCATACATAGTCTACCATATGCATGGTGCTGTGATGTTAAAAAGTTTCATGATGTGTTCTGTGTTCATATTTAATGGTTATGGTGTTTGCAGTGATTAGGAGATTGCTTCTCAGTGGACTGTGACGTGTAGATCATAACTAGCATGATGATGCATGGTGGTTAAATATGTGGTCTCTCCAGGCAGGTTTAGCTACCTCTTCCTGCTTACTGACTGGTATGTAGCTTATCACTTACTACTCTGCATCTGAGATGATAAGAGTACCAACTTCACCATGGTCAGTATTTGGTATGAATGAGGCACTCAGTAAAAGGTTACTTCTGTTATAATCCTGAAACTCCCTGCTAGCCAGGCCATTTCAAGGAAACAATTTGGCCCCCTTTCCTTCTCCTAGGACTGACAGCATATGCCACCATACCTTGCTTTTGAAACATCACAGGTGGCATTTCCCTACCTTTTTGACCTCTCAGGCCAGCCTCCCAGCCTCTCCTTCTTGTCAGAATGCCTAATTGGGTGCCAGGGGTTTTCTTGCTTATTGTATTCTGTAGCCCAGTGGTGATGACTGGGCCTAGTTCTAGCTCTTCCCCACCTTGTTTTTGGACAGATTGCCTCGGATGGTGGCCTGCATCTGACAGTCCCATCAGCTCTTCTGAGACTACAGCTGTCAGCTCCCCTGACCCTCAGCACTTGCCTGGAACACCTGGGTTTGCCACTTCTCTTCAGCCCACCTCTGGCTTGTTGTATCCTGTGTACCACTTCTTTATCTCCTCCCCCATCTTTTTCTCCCTTTTCCCTTTTCTCGTCCCTCTTCCCAGGATTCTCATAGTTGCTACCATAACCTTCTGTCCCAGTATGGCACGTGGCCTGCTTTGTCAACCGGGTCCTCAAAATCCCATCTGGTCCTCAACCAGTTTCGACAGTGAGCACCCTTGGCAGCAGATGAACTGGGCTTCTCCTAGGGTTGTATATATCCCCCTAGTAGATCCCTGAACTGAGCAGCCTTGCTGTGAGGACCCTCTGTGCATGCACATGATTATGGAACAGAAGAACACAGCAAGAATTATTCCCAGCGGTAAGCCCACAGGATGGAATTCACTGACTGCACATTCCTAGCCCCTGCCCCTCAGGTGAACTTTCAGTGGGTTCCAGATTTGGACCTGGTCACCTTTGGATCTCCATGGCCAACAGATCACTTTTTGCTCCAGCTAGGTGATTATGTATCCTTCCACTTTGAGTACTACTTTGACAACTTCAGCCATATCTGTGAGATCCTCCAGTGCCTGACCAACTGAGCCCAACTTCCCACCTCCGTGGGGATCTAATCCTCCTAGATGTTTATGAGCTCTCCAGTAAGATCCCCAGGAGCTTACTATAGACCTCAACAATTGCACTGAACTCTGTGCTCCAGTGCCCTGCCTCCAACCTCAAGTCAGCCACCAGTAGCCTCACAACATCACGTAACTGAGTTCTCAGAGGCTCTGGCACTCAACAAGGGTGCGCCTCCCAGGCCTGTTCCAGCTGGTCTGGGTACCCCCACTGATTCTACTACCAACTCCACATCCAGAAATGCTCTGTTTGAGCAGCAGTTGAACAAAGAGAATTCCCCCAGGCCCATAGGGTCCCCCTCCTTGTCTAGTTCAATGTGCAGCACTGATCCTGATTTTATGGGGCAAACCCAGCCAGGGAATATGACTACCAAATCTATACCTGCATTTTAAGAATTTGCTGTTCTGAAACCAGATTCAGCTTGCCAGGGAGTTCTGAACACCAAGGGGTTATTTCTGAGACAGAGGGAGACTAGGAGGCATCCTTAGGCACTTACTAGGGGATGATAGATACTCAGGAAACCCCGGGAGAGCCACATTTTCTTCTCTGTTCACCCTTCCACCCTGGAAGCTAAACATGATCCAGGCAGCTGTAGCACTGTCTCATTATGAGGTGGCCTTATGTAGTTAGGGACCCCAGTAGCTTCCAGTCAGAGCGGAGTGACACAGCCAGGTGACTTTGGATTATAGTGCTACTAGTCGTTGCCCTGTCTACTGTAATTGCTCAGTGAGGCAATACATTGTCTGACAAATACCTGTGGCTCCTCCCTCTCCTACCCCTGCTGCAGAATGTTGACCTCTGCCTAATGACACTCATCCTCACACTCTCCCAGTACAGCCAAGGGACTTCCTCCTACTGGACTCTCATCTTTGTTCCTACGCCTTACAGAATACCAACTCACCTGGGCCTGTTCCCACCATGTGGACAGTTTCATAGATAATCCCCCATCATTTTGTATTATTGTTGTAAATGCACTCCCTCCCCCACAAAAACAACAAACCGCTTCAACATTGGCTGGGACTAGACTGAGTCTGCTATGTCAGCCCTCTTTGGATCTGGTCTCTACATCTCCCCTAACCTTGCTTCTGTGGCCTCTGCCTTCTGGGCTGAAATTTAAGAAAGGCTGAAATTGTTCAGTACAAATGGAGTGGTATCTTGACAGAGAAAGATGCTTCCCTGTGGGCTTACTCGCAGCTCTGGTCTGCTGGGACAGATTAGATGCAGGAAGGTGAGATGCAAGCCTCCTTGCCAACTCAACTCTGTTCCAGGCATTTCACCTTTCTGTTAACAATCTAGTCATAACCTGGTTTTCTTTAGAGGCTGGCATGATAAAAGACTCAATGCCATTGCCTGTGCTCTCCTCCTATTTTCTGCTTTTCAGCAGTCTCTATACCATCTTGCACACTGCTGATTCACCACTTAAACCCCAATACTGTAACTGATTTGTATCTCTGGGTAGACTGTGAGCCTCCATGCTTTGTGTCCTTGGTATTATTAAATGTGTGTTAAATCCATGACTAAGCCTGTGGTGTGGTAACTGCCAACAAGCACAGTCCTTGTTCTGTCAGCATGAGCACCGTACCCATTCTGTCGGGAACTGAGGCTAGGCCTCAGCTGCAAGCACCTCACATTAGTATTTCAGATCTTGTTTCTGGTTGGGACACTGAGGACTAAAAGGTCTGGTTGAAGGAGTTAGGGCTAAAGGTAGGAGCAGGAGGTTTGGCATGGAGTATGGATTTGAGAACTGACTTCCAAGAGAGCCGAAGATGAACAGGCAGCAGATCAGAGCAGTGAGGCTCCAGGGGCTGGAGGACTGGAATGAAGAAAGACCTGTTCTGCGAAAAGATGGATTTTTAAGAGCAGAACTAAGAGGCTCCCTGAAGCCAAGTTTAACACTGGATGGGTTCATTGTACCCTCCCAGGGGGCAGTTAGGCAAGTATTCTAGTCTCCTTTCAGTTTTAAAATTGTGGAAGCAAAACACCTCCCTTGAAAGTAGGAAGAACTACAATATAATAAGCTCCTAAAACTAGTTTTAGGAAAAACAGTAATAAGCTAACATCTGGTTAAAAAAAATTCTAAGAAAAATAGACATTGTTGGAATTATATTATTAGCAACAGTTGCTTAAAAAGGCACTGGGTTCACCTGGTTTTATGTGTGAGTTATTTTAAGGTACAGATACATTATAGGTGAAAATAGTTGTAAGTCTTGAAAATGGGTGGGAAGTTGATATTAACTTCAAAAGTAAAATAAACTAACAGAAGACATCACTGTGTAGTCTTGATTCTGACACGTGGGAAGTTCTGGATGTTGTCGTTTAGCACCAGTGCAAGGTGCACTACTGCCCTCACCCTCTGTGCTGTCACTAAGGCAGGGCCCACCTTCAGTCGGCCTGGTATGGATTGACTTCCTCCCCATCTTTAGCTGTGACTGGCCTACCTAGTGTCAGCCTTATCAGAGGGTCCTCATTCCAGCTGACAGGACTGTCAGTAGAACCCAAGCTGCTCTTGAGGTTGACAGCCTCAACTGTTGCAGGCCTGTACGACTGCCTTTCCTATCTCCATGTAGCTGACATGAAATAAGTCCCTTCATCTTAGGACAGCCCTCTTTTCTTCTGACACCATCCTTTCCTCCCTCACAGACAGTTCCTGCTGGCCTTGGTTATAGATAGGCATACCTTTACTGAGGGCCAACTCTTCCAAGACAGGCCTGAAATGGGAGAGATCAGATGACCTGTTTTTTAATCCTCTGTGTGTCTGTGTCCTAATCTCGGGAAATGGAGCCTATTTATTGTGTTGGGCTCTTAAGAACAACACAAAAGAAAGGAGGGCAGGGCCTCTCTGGTGTTGACAGGTTGCTGTTCTTGGGTGCCCATGCAAGTAGGATTGAGGAGTGGACAGAAGGGCTCTGGTCTGTCCTTCCAGACAGGCAGTGCTTACTGTGTTGCAAAGTGACAGCTTTGTCTCCAGGCGGCGGTAGTGCCCTGCCTTGGGCAGTTTGATCTAACTGCTTCCCCTCTCTTAGTGGGAAGAAAGAACACAGGATACAGGAAAGGAGGCCCTGTGAGGCTATGAGACTGCTAACGCTCCTAGCCTGCCACACAAATTGGCAAGAGGAGGGTATTGCTGGGAGCAGCACAGTCCAGCACAGTGTAGTACATGTGCTCAGGATGCCTGCCTTCCAGATGTCCTTCACTTCCTGGGAAATATCCAGAAGTTTTATTTCTCAAAGGAAGGACACAGTGGGCACTAGGAGCGTTTTTAAATTACCTGTTTCTAAGGAAAATTCTAAAGCAAGAAGGATTGAGGACAAGGTCTTACAAAATACTGAAACATTTTATAAAGCTGCAACAGTGAAGATACTTGGAAATTGTTGTGGACTGGTAAGCAGAAAAAAAAGAAATTTGAGATAGAGCCAAATAAATAATAAATGTAGACCTTTAGTTAACGCTAAAGGTATTTCAGCTTAACTGAATAAATGGATTATTCAGTGAAAGGTTAGCTAGTCATCTGGAAAATAGTCATACTGGATACCTAACCCTATACCAGTTAATCTCCAATGAAGTAAGAATCTCAATAAATCATAGAAGTGGTACAGGAGAATATGGGTGATCTTCCCAACCTCCCCCCCCCCTGCCCCCGTGATCCCAGGACTTTAAGCATTTTTTTTAAATATTTGTATATTTATTATTTATGCATACAAGAATTGGGGTACAGGCCAGAGGTATGGGGGGGGTAAGAAGATTCACCAGACACAGAGGTGGGAGCAGAACAGGCAGATCTACTGAAATACACTGCTGAGGGGAGCAGCTGGTGGGTCAGGAGAGGTCTGCCACTCTATGTGGTCCCCTCCCCGGCCGGGGATCAAACTTGTGCTGTAGTGGCTTTGGAGAGCTTCATAATGCTAAACTTTAACCCATTGAGCCACCAGGGAGGGCCCACTTGAAGCATTTTAAATACCCAGAATTGGTTTAAGTATGAAGAAATAGCTTCTCTTTCTATTGGTGGGAGTTTGAAATACTGAGTCAGATGACTTTTCTAGATGTATAGACACCAACTTGTCTATAAACCAGTGATCATTGTACTTTCTGTGGTGTGAGGCTTTAGAGTTTGGACTTCAACTCAGCATAGTCACATCTGGTCTCCACCATTTGCAAGCTGATGTTACCCGATCTCTGAGCTATTAGGATGGTTTGCTCAGTGGGATAGTGGGAGGAAAAATGGGATAATGCTCATGCAGTGACTTGAGCCCTGTTAACCACTGGACAGATGTCACTGCACGATTAACAGCAAAAGTGGAAAGGACCCAAAGGTCCAGCAGTTAGTAACAAGATAAATAGCACTATTACCTGCTCTGTCAATCTAGGTGAATGAGATTGTGCTGCAGTTACAAAAACTTCTAACCTTTAGTAGTTTGAGTCAATACTGCTTATTTCTTGCCCAAGCCACACATATGTCATACATTAGCCTGGCACCTCCTGTCCATGACATTCCCTTAGGAACATAGGCCAACAGGAACTACACTAGAAAAATTCTCCATGACCACAGAGGTGGGAAAAGAACACATGGCACTCTGCTTCCATCACTGCTCAGAGGAAGGTGCCAAGCCACATCTGAGTTCTCTGCGTGGTGAGAGTGTCTCCTCATCCCCTGGGGACACTCAGTGCTGAGAAGAACAAGAATCAACTCCCTGCAAGACTCAGCCATACAGCCATCAAAATGGGATGTGGGAGGCTGTTGATAGATTT